ATTTGTGTAGGGTTTACTCCTTAGTCTTTTCTTCTCCTGAATATATTCCACAAGTCAACAAAGGTTTAGGATCAGAGTTTTCCTTCTCTTAGATGTGCTACCTTCCCAGATTGATGAGCCCCATCTGCTCCTCACTTCCCTCTACAACATGAGCAGAAACTGTGTTCCTCACTGCTGGACCAACTACTGGTCTCATCCGCTCAACCTGCCAGAACCTGTTTTTGCATGTAGTGGAAGTCCCTAACTCACTGAAGGTTTGAGATCCATCAGCTACGCTCACCCAGTGACCCTCAACCTGGTTTAGCCAGCCAGTTGAAGCCATTTCCTGGGGTTTGGCAGCTGTCGCACGCTGATAGCTTCTAGGAGCCACAGGTGAGAGCTGAATGCAGGGTGGGGAGCAGTGGTAGACAAGGAGTACAATGTATTCCCCACCTAAAACCTAAAGTGCTCAGATCCAGAAAGAGTAATCAGTTTGCCCATTTTACCTGGGATATCAACTGCACTGTTTAGGACTACAGTGGTACCTCTTGTTATGAACTTAATTCATTACGGAGGTCTATTCTTAAGCTGAAACCGTTCTTATCCTGAGGCACACTTTCATTAATGGGGTCTCCTGCTGCACGCATGCCTCCAACATGCGATTTCCGTTTGCATCCTGGGGCAAAGTTCACAACCAGGAGCAGCTACTTCCGGGTTAGCAGAGTTCGTAACCCAAAGCGTTCATAAACAGAGGTACCACTGTATAAACATTGGATTTAAATGGACAGGTGCCCTATCTATGTGAACATTAAGCCTCAAAATGTATCTCTAGGGCCCTGAAAATGGGACGGGGAGGGAAGGCACAATCTCACTCATGATATCTCATTGGAGAGTAATCAGAGGATTGTATCATCTTAACCAGTAAATGCTTTACAAACAAAACCTAATCAAAGATGGGTATTTTAATGGACACCATTGAGATGAATGGGTTTTGAACAACATAATAAGTATGAGCCACCCTTTCCTTTAAGATTAGGGGTTCCAGATTGTGCTGCAGATTGCAGCTGATTGTACTCTGAAAGAGACTTACATCGAAATATTAAATCACAATCAGATCATTACAGATAGGTTTACGAGCTCTCAAGTTATCTTAGATGTCATTACACCTCAGCTGATGAGTTTACTTTGTGTAATGGTTAATCTTTCTATCAGATCCTTTCTAGGTGCCACATATTCACAGTTAACAGAAGCAGAAAAAGCAGAATGAAATGACCAAGCTAAAAATAAGGACATTTCCTGTTCAAATCCCAAAGCACATCTATTCATAGACTCAGTAATAGAGGAAGAATGAGTCTACTAGGTCATTTAGCCTGTCATTCTTCCAATGTCATAAGATTTTATCAGTTTTCAAACCAGATTAATGTGGATTATTTCCATGCCAGGTTAAAGTTAGGGAAAGGAGGAGAACATATGTGCTCTTATGTTTTAGCAATTAGTCTGGTTCAGGAAACCTGAAATATTTCAAAGAGTAAAAAGAATAAAAATGTTAGGTGGTTTGTTTTTTGCTTGTTTAGAAAAAATACTGAGTTTTCACTGAACATTTTGTCATGGTTTCTCTCATCCAAACAAGTCATGACTGGTAATCAATAGAACAGACCTTGACTATAGATGAGAGCAAGACAAACCATGGGTCTGAGTTGGGACAATATGCTAAGCCAATCCATTGGTTAACTCACAACAGCATGACAGGAGAAGCAGCAATGTGGCCATGGCACATTCTTGATATGTCATGGTTCGTCTTAGCATTATGTGAAACTGGGCCTATATAAAAAGGGTAATTGATTGAGATTATACAGTACACTGTCTACATATTTTCCTGTTGCTCCCATTGCTCGGTCCCTGCCCCTGCCAACCTAGCAGTTCGAAAGCACGTCAAAGTGCAAGTAGATAAATAGGCCCCTCTTCGGTGGGAAGGTAAACGGCGTTTCTGTGTGCTGCTCTGGTTCGCCAGAAGCGGCTTAGTCATGCTGGCCACCTGAGCGCCGCAACCCCAGAGTCATCCGCAACTGGACTTAACTGCCAGGGGTCCTTTACCTTTACCTTTACATATCTTCAGAGTAAAACAGAGAAAAGTATTGTGAAACTGAAGTTGTCTGCATTGCTGAATCCTATCCACTCACCCCCTTTAGCTCGTGTTCTTTTTGCATAAAAGTAAAACCGTTATTCCATTTTTATTGAGGAGTTCTGATCCTCCTTTATATCAGTAAGCAAAGGTGATCCAAAGTTTTTGAGACAAAACTGTATGTGACTACAGAAGGGTATTGCATAACTACTAAAAGAGAATAGAAAAGAATAGCTTTCAACTACACCCACACAATGCCCATAGGCTTCTGATTATTCATAATATAATAAAATCATTGTACTCTCTTTCAGTCATCTAGATTTTCCTGGATAACTCTGTATTCATCTATTTATTAATAATATGAGGCATTCTCATATCAATTTTTTTTTTAAAAAAAATGCATTACCATGAGTAACATCAAACAAAAGGGGCCAACAAGCCAAACAAAAAGCAAAAAGCAAAAAGCAAACAAACTTCCGTTCAGTAGAATGCTTTTTATTTATCATCAGTAGTATGCTAGGCAGGTCAACAGGCTAATAGGTCTCTGCGCAGAAATGTTCTCATAGAAAGCACATACTTGGCTGGGTTCAATAAGGAAATCTTTCTTTTTTCTCCCACACTGCAGCCCACGACCTTCACAAGAAAATGCTCCAATATGAACCAGCTGCTTTGATAACAAGAATGCAAAGCCTCCAAGGACTAGGGCAAAGCTTTCTGGGAGAGAAAACTGTTGCCTTGTTCAGAATCCAATCAAAAACCTGAATGTACTGAGCAAAAAATAAACCAAGGTCATCATTATTCCTTCTCATTGTGTTTTGGCTTGCCTTCAAATTGCTTAGCATGTGTCTCTGAAATAGCAGCACTGCCTCCATTAAGTGAGGCTCCCATCAGTTTAATCAAAGTACCTTGCAGAATTCAAAACACAAACATGTCAATTTCCATATATCCTTAAGTTCTTTCCATATCCTAAATGATAAAATTTGGAATGAGCCTTGTAAAGGATTTTTTTAAAAAATCTGCTGCCGCACCCTCCTTACTAATTCCTGTATTGCCTATGCCTGATCACATCATGTGAAGTAAAGAGTGGTGGAAGAAATTTACAGTACAATCCTATACAGGAAATCCCATTTAATTCTATGGGATTTACTCTCAGATAAACGTGTATAAGATTTCAGCCTGAAGCTGGTTTGTGAATTACAGCTGAAAGGCAGGATATAAACATTCCACACAAACACGCAAACACATAAAAATAAAAATTCTTGGGTTGAATAAAGAAATGTCCTCTCCAAACTTAAAAACAACAAAAACATATAAATTATTCTTCCACTGAGCCACAGAAATTGGTTTACAATAAAACAAGATGATATACCAATGGAAAATAGTGACAGGATAAATAAAAAAGTCAGTAGCCTTAAAAACAAAGCTGGGAGAGTCACAGTTAAAAATATAGTGACATTAAACAGAGCCAAAGCAGGCAGACGCCAATGACAAAAGAGGTAAAGGCCATTGAAACAGAACTCTTCAACAAGCTGCCTAAAACCATACTATGAGAGCGGGAGTTCTAGTGCTCCTATCAAAAAGACAGGCTTTCCTGCGCTCTCCCCACCAGCTATCCCACCAGCAAGTGACCTTTCCCCCAAACAGAGTGCCCTATCTCCCTTTTCAGGCTGTCCTGGAAGTCTCCCAGCAATGCAAGACATGCAACATTTATTCCAAAAGGAAGTTTCTTCCACCGAAGCTAAATTGCCAACATCACCACCAAAGCCACATTAAATAGACGTGGTTTGACTTGACCCAGCATTTGTCAGTCTCACTGGACAAGTGGCAAAAATGCAACCTTTTCCAGTCAATAGCAACATCATGCCCTCTCATCTCTTCAAATAAACTATTTGTTTTGTTTAGTTCCAATACGCGGGCCATACATTTTGGCAGGACTCATTCATACACTTTCACTTTGCAACAAATTTTGGAGATAAATTAGAAGCAGCCAAAGAGATTATTGCTGCCACACCTCCTATTTTTACATTCTACCTACAGCTACATAAGCATGTGAGTTGTTAGCCACCTTCCATGTGGAAAGATAGGGCTGGTAGTATAACCTTGCATTGGTAGTTTATGAATTGTGCATGTCTGCTTTTTAAAAAGACAGAAAAGGATAAAAATACCAACCTTAGAGCATTCAGGCAAAGATTTCTATACCTGTATGTGGATAATATACTGAGGCCAAGTATGAAATAAAAATGGTTATCCTTCCACAATCTTTAAAACAGAACTATCAATCTTATCTAGGTTCTTTCTTTTTGGCTTTTTCTTTTTTTGCAAGAAAATATGAAAAAGTTGTAGCACAGAGCATGAGGAAGGATGTATAAACAGCAGAGCAACCTCAGGGCTCTTTTCTTGTTGGGGGAGATGGGGAAAGGTGCAGTGACTGTTCAACTACTTTACTACAAAATAATGAACAAGATCCCATTTCATGTACATCAATCAGGGCAGTGAAACAGCATATGCCATTATAATTCAAAGCAGCTGATAGTCTTTTGAACTTTTGCCAGACTATTAAAAACAATAATGAAAAATCTATTTTTATCCCAGTCACTTCCCTTCCCTCCCCTCCCCTCCCCAACCAGAAACCTTTCATAAATACTGAATCTTCGAAATGCCCCTTGTGTTCTCACGCAATAGCTTTTTATTTCCACAAATTTCTATTTAAGTGTAATTGTTTAAGGAAGCCTGAAATACAGGCACCCCTTCTCACTGTTCTGTAGTCGACCTTTGCACCATTGGGGTGATTTCCCCCCCAAGAATGCATCCTATTAAAGGGCTTTCCTACAGACCTCAGCAGAATTATGCCACACATTTAAATGCAATGGTAAAAGTATTTCAGACATTTTGTACTTACATTCTTCCTCTTCCTCATACCACTGCATGTAAGCATAAAAGAAGGTCCAAGGCAAACACCAACAGAGTTTCCCAAAGTACTACAATCCAGTGTCACTGTTCCAATGTCCTTTTTAAAAGCCAACAAAAATAAACCAAAATTATGATGGCTGCGACTCAACAAGCCGCAGCATTTCACACAAAAAATCCTCTCATCTCCTTAATATTCCCTTGTTGATTTCAGTGTACAGTCAGCTGCTTCTCAGAACTGGATTCTGTACCGGGGAATAACATGATTCTAACTTCCACTAAGCTGACAGAGTAACTGATGCCAGGGTTCTGTGGAGGCCCCGAGATGTTTCAAATTCCAGGACCTGCGCAGAAGCAATAAAGCACGCTTTCCTCAAAACAAGTTGGCTTCCCATAATAGGCCAGCTGATGAACTCTACATATAAGGCTCTGTTTTCAGAATGGCATGTATAATGGATTTAAGTGATGTGGAGCAGCTTTCCGGATAACATTCAAAACAACTCTACGGTGCACATAGTGCTGCTTCTCTTGTAAATGCCTGGCGGATCAGATTGTGATCATCTTCATGAAGATGAGAAGCCTTTGCAGACTGAGGAAACTTTCCAAACACATTATCAGCACCTAGTTGGGTTAATCTGAATTTTACTTTATGCATTTATTTTACGTTTCTTACTTTATTTTCAACTTGGGGGTGGGGTTTTTCAACTCCACCACAATTCCCCACAGCTATATTCACATTCAGCAATCATAAGAATGCCAGAGCCTCAATATTTATTGAATCTAACCTCACCACTCGGGAAATATTTTCAGGAAAAAAAACTCCTAACTCTTCCAACCTGAGAAATGCTATACCAAAATAGCAACCTGAAAAACAAACAAGCCAATCTATGGGGGTATAACACTTTTTTAAAAAAAACTGTCTTCAGTAAACTCATGCATATTGAACATGACAAGTAATATTTGTCACCATATGTGTTTACTATGTCTCAGTTAAACTCATTTTCTTTCAGAATAGGAATACTGCCAGTCCAGCTGGCAGGGAGGGGCAAGGTTATGCCCCTGGCCTTCCGGCATCGCCAGAGCTGAAGCTTACCAATAGGGAGAAGCAATGGGGAGGCTCACACTGTGTGGATGCAGCAGGAGAATTGGAGTACTGGACCCACTGGCTCTGCCAATGGGTCCACACAGCACCGGTCTCCCCACTGGCTTGCCCTCCTACCCTCCCAGTAAACCGCTCCCAATTCTACCCATATAACCTATCTGTATGAATGTAGTAATGAACAAAATGCACACAGGTGATGATTTGTACTGAATGGCTCTCAAATCTGATTCAAGAAACCCAGTTCTCCTCAAGAAGACATCACTAATGTACACATTTCTGCAAACAATTTTCCCTAATTCTGCACAATGCATTTTTGGATGTTAGTGAAAATATCTTCATTCTTATGCACATTTCCTCCTAATATAATGGTAAAGGTACCCCTGCCCGTACGGGCCAGTCGTGTCCGACTCTAGGGTTGTGCGCCCATCTCACTTAAGAGGCCGGGGGCCAGCACTGTCCGGAGACACTTCCGGGTCACGTGGCCAGCGTGACGAAGCTGCTCTGGCGAGCCGGCACCAGCGCAGCACACGGAAACGCCGTTTACCTTCCCGCTATAAAGCGGTACCTATTTATCTACTTGCACTTAGGGGTGCCTTCGAACTGCTAGGTGGGCAGGAGCTGGGACCGAAAGACGGGAGCTCACCCCGCCGCGGGGATTCGAACCGCCGACCATGCGATCGGCAAGTCCTAGGCACTGAGGTTTTACCCACAGCGCCACCCGCGTCCCTTTCTCCTCCTAATATATGAATACGTAAACATTGTTTGGTTGGAGTACTGCATCGCAAAATTTGGATACGTATGAATTTTGAAGGATAGCTGTGCTTTGCTCCTCATCTTGTTCAGGAGGTGCAAAGTTGGTAGATTCAGCTATAAATGCATACAGAATCAAATTTCTCCTTCATTCCTAGCTCTGAGTCATAGTAATCTGTCGCTCCTTTGAGTATCCAGGGCCACTATAGCTTCTGGGAAATTTATTTACCCACTTGTTAAGAGGCAAACGTATGGAACAAAGCATAAGTGTTAAATGTGTGGTGAATGCAAATAACACCACATTCAAGACAATATATGTAGCTCCGCTGGAATTTCAAATATGTGGTACCTGTTAGATTTACTTTACTGTGGTAAAAAAAGCATTATTCACCTCAGACATTATCTCGATTCACCTTCAGCAAACCCCAGAAATAATCATTTGCTGGCTTGACACAGCTCCATTGCAGGTGTGCTTCCTGTTAGTCGCTTGAATAAAAAACAAAAAAAAACAGGAAAGCTGCCAAGCCTCATTGGCTCCTTTTCTCCACACTTCACACATCATACATTTTTCAACCCATATAAATTATTTCTCTGTGGAGCCTGACAGTAATTGGCTATAGTGGAGTCAATAGTGCGATCTCGAATGACGGGGAGGTCCAGTCATCTCCTCTTCCATTATAACCCTTTGGCCTTTTTAACTGCAGGAGCATTTTGTAGCACATTTCTATGCCCTTGTTGTATGCCAGTGCAGTCCACCTAGGCTCTGAGGCTGCCAGCCTCCTTTGTTTCACCCCTGCCGGTACTAATGTTCGCATGAGAATTTGAGATCCTTGCTGCTGTTACTTAATGAACTCTTAATAGTGCGCACGCGCGCACGCACACACACACACACACACACAGGAAACAAAGCATTGTGTAATATATGCCTTACTCCAAAGCATAAGTTCCCCCAAAGTTGATTCTAGTACAATGGTCAGATTCAACTTTTTATTCAACGGTTTACAACAAAGCAGTGCATTATGCGCCAGGACTTTCACTTGCATAATGGGGCTTTCCCTCCACTCTTTCCCTGTACACCCCACCCCCTCAAATGGACTTAGTGGGGTTAGGAGAACCCCATAACAGCACACAGGCTGAGGATGGGGGTCATTCCATCTGGCAAACTGAATTCCATGTGCAGATAGAACAATTGGCAAAGCATGACATTGAATTCCACCCTAATGAATTAAAATGTGTAAAACATAAACATCTTATAAGTTACAGTGGTACCTCGGGTTACATACGCTTCAGGTTACATATGCTTCAGGTTACACACTCCGCTAAGCCAGAAATAGTGCTTCAGGTTAAGAACTTTGCTTCAGGATAAGAACAGAAATCGTGCTCCGGCGGCGCAGCAGCAGCAGGAGGCCCCATTAGCTAAAGTGGTACTTCAGGTTAAGAACAGTTTCAGGTTAAGTACGGACCTCTGGAATGAATTAAGTACTTAACCCGAGGTACCACTGTACACATTATTCCCCCCCCCCAAATATCTTCAGTGGTAGAGCGCATGCTTTGTGTGCAGAAGATTCTAGGTTTAATCCCTGGTTTCCTAAGGCTGCACTTGGAAAACCTCAAGTCTGAAATCATGGAAAGCCACAGTGAATAATGACAATACTGAACAAGAGGCATAGGACAGCTTATTATATCCCTATATTCAATATGCTTTACTCTTATGAGTGCTGCTGAAAACTTCAGGGAAAAATTCAAGGGTATTGCTTTGCATTTTTTTTAAAGAATTTGGTCAAAATTCAAAATATGTATTTTGGTTTTCTTTTTTTTCTTTTTTTAAATATATTTTTATTAAGGTTTTTCAATACAAAAGCATATTTAATAAAACAACATTGGTTATTTAACATCTTTTCATTACTACTTTGGACTCCCTCACACCTCCCGCACCCACTTGCATCATTATGAAGTTATTTCCAAGCAAATTATCATTTTGTTCATAGTCTTAGATTCAGTCATTAAAGTATAGTTGAACTTAACTCTAGTTTAGTGATAGACAATTATTTCTGCTCTGGCATCCCTGTCAACATTCAGCCAAATTACAGTACTTTTGTAAATAAGTCTTAAATTTCTTCCAGTCTTCTTCAACCCTCTCTTCTCCCAGGTCTCGGATTCTGCCGGTCATCTCAGCTAGTTGCATATAGTCCATCAGCTGCATCTGCCATTCTTCCAGAGTAGGTAAATCTTGAGTTTTCCAATTCTTGGCGATCAGTATCCTTGCTGCCGTTGTTGCATACATGAAAAATGTTCTGTCCTTCTTTAACACATTCTGGCCGACAATGCCCAAGAGGAAGGCCTCTGGTTTCTTGGTAAAGGTATACCTAAACACCTTTTTCAGCTCATTGTATATCATCTCCCAGAAGGCCTTCACTCTAGGGCAAGTCCACCAGAGGTGAAAGAATGTTCCTTCATTTTCCTTACATTTCCAACATTTATTATCAGACGAATGGTATATTTTGGCCATTTAACTGGGGTCATGTACCATCTATATATCATTTTCATTACATTTTCCTTCAGAGCATTACATGCAGTGAAGTTCAGCCCAGTGGTCCACAACCTTTCCCAGTCTTCAAACATAATATTATGCCCAATATCCTGTGCCCACTTTATCATAACCGATTTAACCATTTCGTCTTGTGTGTTCCATTTCAGCAGCAAATTATACATTTTTGAAAGTACTTTAGTCTTAGATTCTAACAGTTCTGTTTCCAACTTCGATTTCTCCACCTGGAATCCTAACTTTTTGTCATTCTTAAACACTTCTTTAATCTGAGCGTAGTGTAACCAGTCTCGCACTTTATCTTTCATTTTCTCTAAACTCTGCAATTTCCAATTGTCTCCATCTCTTTCTAATATCTCCCAATACTTTGGCCAGTTGGCCTCCATATTGGCTCTTTTTCGGGCCTTAGCCTCCAAGGGTGACAGCCACCTCGGGGTTTTATTCTCCAGTAAGTCTTTGTATCTTGTCCAGACATTAAATACTGCTTTCCTGACAATATGGTTCTTAAAGGCCTTATTAATCTTAACCTTATCATACCATAAGTATGCATGCCATCCAAATGCATTGTTAAAACCTTCCAGATCCAGTACATCTGTGTCCTCAAGAAGTAGCCAGTCTTTTTAGCCAGCAGAAAGCTGCGGCTTCATAGTACAACTTTAAGTCTGGCAGGGCAAAGCCCCCTCTTTCTTTCGCATCCGTTAATATCTTAAACTTAATTCTGGGCTTTTTGCCCTGCCAGACAAATTTAGAAATGTCTTTCTGCCACTTCTGGAAGCACTCCGTTTTGTCTACAATCTGCAATGTCTGAAACAAAAATAACATTTTTGGCAATACATTCATCTTAATGGCAGCTATTCGGCCTAACAATGAAAGTTTTGATTTTGACCAACTATCCAAGTCTCTCTTAATTTCCAACCAACATTTTTC